AAGGCCCAGGGGCCTTCTATTCCTGCGTGGGGCCTCGGTCTCCCCGCCGCCCTGCCGCCGCTCCAGCCTGGGTTGAGTCGGATTTGAGGCGTAGCTTAGTGAGCGTCTGTCTAGGCGTAGGACGCGTTTATCGACCACCTAGGCACGTCCTCCTTTTTAAAGGATTCCTGCCAGGCCAAGCAAGTGGTGTGGTGGTTAAGGCTCTGAATTCCAACGTGGTAGATCGGGTTTGAATCCAGGACCCAGCAGCTTGAAAATCACGAGTGAATGATTTTTTTTTTAATACAAATTTTTGCCATATGGCTTTTATGCTGGTTGGAGAGAGAAAAAAAAGCACCCTACGATCCCTTCCCCCTCTGTGGACAGCAGTCTGACTGCTTTTTCCTATTTTTCCAAAGTCCTTTCCAGAGGGCCTATGGGAGTCACGCCCACGTGTGGACACACCACTTTGGCGCATTGGTAACAGGATTCTTCTAACATTCTCCCCTCTGCGTAGTTTTGGAGTATCTTTGTGATGTGCATTAAGCCTCCTAATCACTGTTAAAGTACATTCCTTTCTCTGGACCAGCAGTTAGTGTAATGGCTATGTCGGTGGACTCTCATGTAGTTGACCGCGGTTCGCGTCCTGAACCCGGTGGCTTAAATTCACGCTGGGCGCGACGTGGCCATTCCCATGGGGAGGTGTGTGTGATTTCTTGCTTTTTGTCTCTGTCTGGTGAGCGCACGTGCCCTGTAGCAAAAACGTCTCCAAAAAAAAGGTACATTTCTTTCTCGTCTCAGCAGCCTTCATTTTCCAGTCACCACTCTAGAAGCCGGAGAAGCCACCCGTCGCCTACAAATCCCTGCTTCCACATGTCCCACCTTTTTGGGCTAGACCAATGAAAAAACTTTTCACGAAATTTCCAAACTCTGTCTCTCACTCTCAAAATCAAATAAGAAGAACCTGTCAGGTTTTGCCTCCTCTCTGCCTAAGTCACTCGTATTCTGCTTAAAAATAAGCCACATAAATTGGGATTCTGTGCACACACTCACACATACCAGTGTGTTCAAGCCGAAGCCCTTTCTTTATCTTTTTTTTTGAGAGATTTTTGCTATAGGGCGCGTGCGCTTGCCAGACAGAGAGAGACATAGAGACAGCGAGAAATCACCCCCCAGGGGGGATGGTCACGCCTCAATCCTTTCTCCTCCATTCTCCTCTTGGGATCTTGGGCACGCACGCACACGCACCCAGCGTGAGTTTTAAGCTACTGGGTCCGGGATGCGAACCACGGTTGACTACGTGGGAGTCCAGCGACATAGGCATTACGCTAACTGCTGGTTCCCCTGAAGCCCTTTCTTTGATCCAGATCTTAACCACCATGGTCTCTGCAGACTCAGCATCCATTTTATCCCATTTTAATCAAACCTAGCAAAATTGTTACATTTTAGATTATTGTTCTTTGAACTGTTGTTTCTTTCTTTTTTTTTTTTTTTTTGGAGAGATTTTCACTGTAGGGCGCTTGCGCTCGCCAGATAGACAGAGAGAGACATAGAGACAGAAAGCGAGAAATCACCCCCCAGGGGCTGGTCACGCTGCAATCCCTTCTCCTCCATTCTCCTCTCGGGATCTTGGGCACGCACGCACACGCGCCCGGAGTGAGTTTTAAGCCACCGGGCCCGGGACACAAACCGCGGTCGACTACGTGGGAATCCATTACGCTAACTGCTGGTTCCCTGAACTGTTGTTTCTTAAAATCCAGACAGACTGGGGTTTCAGTCTTAGCACTGCGGCCTAACTAGTATTTGGGTCCTAATCGTTTTTTGTAATCCAGCGGGGAGAATAATGTTAGGCCCCAAGGTCTGCTAAGAGCCAATGTTGGTGAACTGAATGAGTGACTTCCTGAATATTGATTATATTTTCTTGTCCCCTTCCAACCCCTGAATTCAAGCCAATATATTAATGAAGTAATCTTTAAAACTCAACTGTGAATGTTTCACGAAACAGTGCTATCACGATCCCTGGCCTTACTTGCTTTGCCTCAGCCTATTTTTTTTTAAGGTTGACACTACAATGATCATTTAATAACTTCTATTGTCAGAAAATAAAGAAAACATTTTTTACTTTGGTCCGTCAGAGAAATGATTAAAAGATGAGCAGTTCAACTAAAGATTGATAACAAGTGCACACATTGCTTATAAATTGAGTGCTACTTAATTTTTATTTTTAAATATATTAGATCATTTATTGAGCTACTATAGGAAGTTATTAGAATTTATCACCATGCACCTTTTCACCAAACTGACACCAAGAATCTTCATTGTAATGTGGCTTTAACATCTTTTACTTCATCTGTGAAGTCATGATCTGCTTAGTGAGGCAGAATTAGCAGGAGGAAGCCCCCGAACCGGAAGGGATGTTTGTGAGGCAGATGAACCTCACTTCCCAGAGGAGGAGAGACACTTGAGAGGAGTGCAGTGACTGCCACGGCTGTGCAAGGGCCTAACGGCCTCCCGTGGAGAGCGCTGCCCTGTCGTGGGGCGCCCTGCTCCCCTCCTGTCCGCTTGGCCACGGCAGGTGTCCTCCGGTCAGATGTGCGTGGGAATTCATGGTGGAGTCGGCTACGTGGCAGGTGGCTGGTGGACTAGGCCGGTCCCCAGCCAGAGGCACACCCGGTTACTGTGCTGCTGGCCATTTGATGTTGGCAGTAGAGACCCTGGGTAGCAAGACCTCTCCTCCAGCCCCTTTGCAGAAAGGAACTGCCAAGGGGCATTCGTTCCCGAGTTGGAGGGGGAGCTTTCCCAGATGCAGTTGGTATGGACACCATGGGAATTACAGTACCTACTCGGGGCACATCTCCGTCGTTAAGGCAGGCCTGGCTGCACGGCCGGTCGGACAGTGGCTAGACGCGGCCACAGGTGTGCGCTTTCTGCGATCGTCCGTGTCACCCCTGGAGCAGACGTCCCTTGTTCAGGTAAGGCTTCTTTACCTTCCCTGTGTCAGATGTTTCTTACCATTTAAAATTTTTCTCTTTTTTTTTGGAGAGGTTTTGTTTGTTTGTTTGTTTTTGCTATAGGGCTTGTGTGCTCACCAGAAAGACAGAGAGAGACAGAAAGCGAGAAATCACCCCCTAGGGGGGATGGCCATGCCACAATCCCTTCTCCATTCTCCTCTCGGGATCTTGGGCATGCACACACATGCGCCCGGCGTGAGTTTTAAGCCACTGGGTCTGGGACGCGAACTGCGGTCGACTATGTGGGAGTCCAGGTACATAGCCATTACGCTAACTGCTGGTCCCCACACTATTCCTTGTTATAATCTTTAATTGATATGTAATAGTTGCACATATTTACAGGGTACAATGTGGCTTTTCAGTACATGAATGTAATGTATAATAATCAAATCAGGACAATAGCCACAGCCACCATCTCGAACATGATCACTGCTTTATGGTGGGAACACCAAAAATCCTCTTGTATTGATTTTAAAATACACATTACATTGTGAAAACTATAGCTGTAGCTACTGCGCTGTAATGCTCTAGAAGCCATTCTCTTATCTTCCTGCAATTTTTAGTTTATTAACTAAGTTCTCCTTATTTCCCTGCCCCCTCGCTTCTCAGTTTCTGGAACCCACCATTCTCCTCTCTACTTCTATCCAGTTGAGTCATTAATTTCCACAAATGAGCTGGAACATGCATAGTCTGCCTTTCAGCAGCTTACTCCGTGTAGTGGAGTTCCATCGCATATGTGTGGCGCGCTTTCTGCCTTCACTGTTAGTTGAGTGCTACTTAGGCCAGTCCGTGTCCGAGTTACCGTAATACGGCTGCAGTAGACAGGAGTGGCAGATATGGCTTTCTCGTGCCCATTTCCTTCTGTTTGGATGTATTCCCCAAAGCGGGGTTAATGGATCATAAGGTAGTCCTAGTTGTAGGTTTGGGGACCTGCTGTACTGTTCTCCATAATGTGCATTGCTACCAAAGTGCCCAAGAGCTCCTCTTTCTCTACAACCTCACCGTCACTTTTTATTTGAGTTCATTGACTGACTTTTTCTGAGAGCGAGCGAGCTCCCCAAAAGGGTCTTGATGTT